AGTCAGCTGCCTTGGTCGACCAGGTGGCCGCTGTAAGCTAAAATTACAAGTCCGAATAAACACCAAAGAGCGCTTTGATAAGTTCATGTTCTTGAAAGTGTCAGAGAAGAATATATCCCACCAAAAACATCAAACTCTACGCCTCTTTGTGCGTTTGGCAAATCTTCCTGCCCTACCATCTTCCAGTCCAGGCAGGAAAGTCTTTGTCCTTGTCAGGTACCAACGCCTGCAGCTGTGCTGCTGATCGCTGCGGCAACTGGACGTGCCCGGCGGCAGGAGTGGGGGCCGGCCTGCGTCATCTGGTGTGGCAAATAGGAACGACCACCATTTGGAGGGGCCGCCTTTGTTCCTTCAACTTTGGATGCTTGATTCGTTATAGTTTGTTGGGTACAAGTCCATGAACCTTAGGCTTGTCGCAGGTCGTACCTGATTTCACAGCGCCCATGATGCACTCAAGTCACACAAATCCTGGCTATGGAATATGATCTTTCCAATATTCACCTCCTTCCCGGCTTGGGTCCCGGTTTTGGGCGGCCACGTCAGGAGCATTAGAAGGCAATCCAGTAGCCGTGAGCGGAGCTTTGGTCGACCCGGTGCAACCCATGGCTTATGGTGTTTCTTTTCCACTCATCAGAAGCATTGTCGTGGCCAAGCTGGGTTGTACACCAGGCTGTTTGCCAACGTGCTCTCTTGAAGAGTGCTTTAGGTAGTGACTTCTGCAGAGCACTGGAGTACTTGAGTTGCTGCATCAAGCTTGGATGCCTGCCTTGCCACGCACAGCAGGCTTCCTGTGCCCAAAATGTGACTTGAGCCGCGCCATAAACCCTGACAATACAAAGTAGTAAAGGGGGGTGTCCTATAGAATCCCCGCGAAAGCCAAACCGCAGGCCGCGAAAGCTTGCGAAAGCTTATCGCGAAAGAAACCAAAGAAGGTCCCGCCGCGAAAGACCCGCGAAAGCCTGCATGCTGTGTGACGGTCCGCCGCGAAAGCGTCGCGAAAGCAATTCTAAAGAAACCAAAGCCCGCGAAAGCAAAACATTGGGGCGCGAAAGCATCGCGAAAGGGTCCGCGAAAGCAAGTTTATAGGACCGCTTTTTACACAAGAGTATTTGGCACGGCTCACTTGAACAGCTTTGATGTCAGCCCTTGCCCTGCCTTCTTGAGGGCAGTCAGGAATTACTCCCTGTGACCTCTACCTGATCCTTTTGGCCTTAGACGGCGTACGGGCGCGAATGCCCTGCGAAGATGCTCGGGCCTGGCAACCAGGTAGACCGTGTCCAATGCCCCTCCGAGAGGTGAAAGCGCTGACGGGGAGGGCATGCCTCCGGATTCGCCTGATTGCTCGGAATCCAGGGCGACTCCACTTTTATCTCATACCACGCGGTGCAATGACATCCACAATTTCACTTGGCAAACCTCGAATTCTGCTCAATTAAAAGGATGCCGCAACCAGTTAGACCGTGTCCAACGCTCCTCCGAGAGGTTCAATGAGCTCGCAGATGCCTGCTTCGTGACACTTCGTTTGGACCCTCAGGGTCGTGGGGGCCGCTCGGCACTTGCGGTGAGCCGCCGGTGGCAGTAGCAAACGCAAGAGGCGTGCATTGGCTCCAAGAAAGCACTTCCAGTTCACGCCCTCCCCGTCAGCGCTTTTGCAGAGCGAATGTTTCAGCCTGTCACTAGTAGGCTTTCGGTGCAGGACCCAAATCAATCAGGCACCCGCATTTCGCGTGGACTGATGTCGGCCATAACTTCAATTTATCTTTCAAGCTGAGTCCATGGTAAGACAACTGGCGCTAAAGATTTGCATTGCTCAGGCCGAGCAACGGATATTGGGGATTCAGAACCCTGAAGCCCGGTTCCTAAGTCAGGAAACTTGCTGCTGTTTTGTGCCCAACAAGTTTCGCCGCCGCTTGCCAAATCCGGATTCATTGCAAAGAGTGCACGCACCGGCAGAAGCACAGCTCCCTGCAGGAAAGCTGCAAGCGTGTGGCACCAGCTGAGTTTGTTGACCTCCAAGCTTGGTCCAGTTGCGGCATTTTAGCAAGGCCAGCAAGATTAAGCTGGGCCACCGTGCAGCCAAAGTCTAGGGTTCAATATTGCAAAGGCCCAAGCGAGTTTATGCGACTCTGCTCAGGTTCCTGAGGGTGCAAAGCGACTACTGGGGCATGGGTGGGCAAGGAGTCTGTTGCAATTTGTCACGAAGTCCTTTTTCAACCAGCAAGGGTTCACAACTGGCAGGATGTTTTTTGTTTGGGTGCTGTTGTTTTTGGCGACTGTCAAGCCTTTCCCGTATCTTTTCGAGGAGCTCCCGTGCCCAGACCTCCAACCGAAGATTTTGATGGACCGGTGGGCTTGAATGGGGTTGTCTTCGAGTCTTCGGTTGCCTGCCCAGCACATTCCACTTGCATGCAATCCATGGCCTGGCCCAGGCAATGTCACACAGCTCCAGTGCGATGCGCGGTGATTTCGCGGCGCTTCGATCTCTAGCCACGTAGACGGATGCTCAAGGCTCCCATCGCCGTTTGCTTGCGCCGGCTGCGCTTGGCGAAAAGCCAGACCTGCTTTCCAGGCCTTCTTGTGATGCTCGCAGGAGCTCAGACAGGGTTGCGGAGTGTTTGTTGTTGCCTGGGAAACTGAGCGGCCCAAAGGCTGAAGCTTCAGAGTTGATGGCGTTGGCTTGCGATGGTGCAGTGCTTGAGCGTGAAATGGCCGAATCGCGGCTTCACGTCGATCCGATTTGTCGCTGCCCGCTTTTGCCCTGGAAGCGTCGCGACGCAAGGTCTGAGATCCAGCTTCACGGATTCTGGAGGGTCAGCAAAACTTTGGATATACTGCCCACATGGATGTTTCTTACTACCCACATGGATGTTTCTAGCAGGGACCCTCGCCAAAGATTCCCGCTTTTTCACTGGTTTCCCTTCCAATCCCCAAAGTGTGTACACCAAACACAACTAGGCTTTGCCCAGCCCTGCCCAGTAAAAGCTTCAGCCTGGCCAGCCCGGTGTGCTCTGCGTCTCGGCCGTCGGCCACACAGGCTGAAATGGTAGCCGTTGTGAAGACTATGGCAACCAGCAGGTCCAATTCTTGGGCCTTCGGGCGTGAGCTTATCCATATCATGGCCCCACATGTCTAGTTGTGTACAGGGCGCGCCAGGTGAATGTGAACAACCTGCTCCGTGCTGCAATCCTCCAAGTTTGAAGGATGCAAAGTCAGCAAAAGACGGGTTCAGCTGGCCACGGCTCCGGACCCCCGCTCCAAGATCCCGATGCATCCCGATGAGGCTCCCGGATCCGAAGTCTCCGATCTGGCATCGAAGGAGAGAAGGGCATTCAAAGCTTGAGGCGCCCGCTTCACGAAGGCCCCAATGGCCGAGTTCACATTCCAGACTCGTTCTCAGATTTCTCAGGCACATGGGCTTCTCTGCGGCTGAGCTCAGATTGGCAATGGTGTTGGAGCTCACCTAGCGTGCAAGCCTAACGCAACGCAGACAACGACATTTCTGAGGACAAAAGTGGACATAACTGACATCCCACGCCGTCCAAAACGTGTACTTCTGGTAGTGAGCGCGTGCCGTGCAGCATGTGACGTGATGCTCCAGCTGTAGCCATTTAAGTGGCGCTGGGCAAGGCAAGCGCATATCCGGAGAAAAAATATGAGTTATTGCAGTGTTCGCAATGTGCGGTGTCTGGCTTGTACGCTACTGCTGATCAGAGGAAAAAGCCAAGGCTCTAGAGAGCCTCCTGTCATCCATGAACTTGGGGTTTTCAGAGAGAGGAAAATCAACGGGGTGCGCAGTCTGGAGAAGTGTGCGCATTGCCTGACGCAGTGGTCAGAAGTCGCTGGAGGTTTGCAGAACTTGCTCGGCTTCGTGGTGCCGCGCTTGGCTCCGCGGTTCGTGCAAGGGGCCTGTTCGCAGAAGCGGGGGCCAGGACTTCGCAGTGCGTGAGAAGGGGGGAGGGGACAGAAACTTCACGAGAGGGGGCGTGGGGGTTGCAGATCACGCGAGGTGCTAGGGCTTCGCAGAAGTTTGCATAAGGGGCCAGGGTTTGCAGAAGTTTGTGGGCGAGGCTTGGGTTTCGCAGAAATCGGATCGAATACTAGCTTGTTTGGGTATGCCATTGGTTTTGCCTTTAGTTGTCGCTTGCCCGGCACGCTGCTTCCTCAAGCTGTTTCCTGCACCTGCAAGCAAAGCTGCGATGTCTTTGACGCTGAGGGCAGGGAAGGAGATGTCGGCTGACGCCTTGTAAAAGAGTCTTATTTTTGCAGACTACACAGAGCCATTCTTGCTGACTTGCCAGCTGACCATGCACTCACAAGGCGCATGCCTATTGTGAAGGCCGGCGTTGTTGAAGACTCTCAGCTCGCTGTGCCCCCAGGTGCAGGTGGTGTTCCTATCAGCCAGCCTGTGTCAGCAGCAAAGCCCAGCCATCGCTTCAGCCCTCGCATAAGTGTCGCATAAGAACAGTTTGTTTGTTTACCCCCGATTGTGTGCGCCCTGCCGCCCTGCCTTAGTCAGGAACATGGCATAAAGCTAATACTTGCTTTTGCTCGATTCCATCTCTTCAGGTGTGGCCACTTGAGGCAGCGTGGCACCCAAGGTGATCCTTTGCAGTCGGCGCAGGTCGGGGTTTGGCCAGCTCTAGACTGCGGCCTCATTGCCTGCGGGACTCCTCAGTCGCGAGCTTCAGTAGATCCGAAACCTGGAAACGCTGGCCGGCCGCGTCTTGAGGCAACAGCGAAGCAGTGCAACGATTGATCCGAGTGCCTGCCGCTTTCCAGTCGATTGAGGCAACAGCATCTGTCCGCTTTTGCGGGGCACGTGTTGCGCAGCCTTCGCAGCTGGTTCAGTCGGGGTTGCTTGGCACCTGGACGATGACTCGGCTTTCTGACGCAGCACAGGGCTGCTTCGGGCCCGGAGGCCTGACTGCCTTTGTTCGCTGCGCTTCTTGAAGGTGTTTATGCGTTTGTGCCGCTTGCAGTGCTAAGCGGGAATTCAGTTGATGCTGTTCTGCAAGAAACGTTTTCCTGATCAGTTAAACAAGAAGACCACGCCAAAGCTCCCTTCAGCTTTCTCTGAAGTTCTGGGCCTTCAAAAAATGCTTGCCTGTCCTTCTCGGCGCAGGGCTGCGTCTCTGGCTTGGATGCCAACTGGACAGCATCCAGACCAGACCAATGCCGCTTTCCAGTCGATTGAGGCAACAGCCTCTGTCCGCTTTTGCGGGGCACGTGTTGCGCAGCCTTCGCAGCTGGTTCAGTCGGGGTTGCCTGGCACCTGGACGATGACTCGGCTTTCTGACGCAGCACAGGGCTGCTTCGGGCCCGGAGGCCTGACTGCCTTTGTTCGCTGCGCTTCTTGAAGGTGTTTATGCGTTTGTGCTGCTTGCAGTGCTAAGCGGGAATTCAGTTGATGCTGTCCTGCAAGAAACGTTTTCCTGATCAGTTAAACAAGAAGACCACGCCAAAGCTCCCTTCAGCTTTCTCTGAAGTTCTGGGCCTTCAAAAAATGCTTGCCTGTCCTTCTCGGCGCAGGGCTGCGTCCCTGGCTTGGATGCCAACTGGACAGCATCCAGACCAGACCAATTCTCCTAGGATATCGCAGCCTGCATATGCAGGACGCCACATGCAACACCACTGGCCTGCGACGGCAACGCGCCACGGCGTGCATCCTTCGCTTTTTTCACGTGGGCCTTATGGGGCAGGAGACCATGGCTGCTGCAGCTGTGGGCTGCATGGCTGTGATGGTGCTCGGCTGCTGGTGCTGGCCTTTGCTTGTGACCATGTTGGGCGCTGGTGGCAACGGCACTGATAGCAACAAGCCAGCTGCTCATCATTTCACGTGCGCAAATATTGTCACTTTCACCAGGATCCTTTGGCAGCTGAAGCCTTCAATCGAAGCTGACCTTTGATGTTGGCAACCTGGGCATGAAAATGTGGGACTTGCTTCGGTACGGCTTCCTGGATCCTGGTGTTTTCTGCAAGGCGGACACCTTGGCAATGTATAGTGATGACGGTGGTCTCACAACTGTGGGCAAGCCAAATGTTGGCCATCGCGTGCGTTACGTTGAGTACCAGCTAGCTTGCACAGCGGGTTGATCCCCGGCCTGTCTTTGACGGGGTTATCGTGTCAGTTGGAGTCAGACGGCTCAGACCGTGAGCCATGTGCCAAAGAACACTTGCGCCGCTGCGTGAGCGCGGTCAGCTCCAACTAGGCATCCCACTTCCTAGCAACGAGGTCATGCCGCTTTGGCTGTGGAGCATGTGCTCCTGAGCCCTTGTCGCAATGCTATGCTGCACATGTGGCCTCCTACCCTCCAAATGGCCAGTCTCGGCTATCAGCCGTGCTTCCCTCGCAAGCGCGGGAGACGGCGCATTCATCGCGCGACCTTTCACATAACCCCAAGCAGGTTGCAGGCAAGATGGATGGAGAAGGTGTCAGAGAGGGGGCCTACCAGACAAATCTCATTGCCAGAACGTCAGGCCCTTTTGGGCAAACTCCTCATGATGTCATAAAGGACGCTCAGCTTTGCAAAGCCCCGCGGGTTCATCGCAGGCTTGCAGAGGCGGCTTTCCTCAGCGGGAGCGTTCTTTTTCTACTTTGCCTCGTGCCTTACTACAGGAAGTGGACAAGCAGCCTTGTAAGCCTGTTCAAATTTCTACTGCAAGGATTTGGCCCGAAATCAGGTAGGTGGCTGTGGGTTGTGGACCTGGGTCTTTGATTCGTATAAGGAAACGTGCCAACCAGGCTCGTCCAGGCAACAGTTTCCATCGGTTGAAAGACATGCATCCGCCAACACTCGCAACTGAACCCGAACCAACAATGGAATATGCCAAAGGACTGCCTGAGCCTCGCCCAGAGGTTTTGAGCCCACGGCTTCGCGTTGCAACACTTCGTCGCCCAGACGACATGCAATCACAGCCGCAATGAAGGCGCAGCGGACACTTTACCTGTACCTCTGTGAGGGTAGCCGCAGGCATTTTCTGTTCAAGTTCAGTTTGATAGAACTTGAGGTTTTTGCAAAAAGTGGAACATGGCCAAATCGTGGATTTCACTGCGTCGAGTCTTGGGGCGAGTTCTTGCTGAAGTTGTAAAGGCTCGTTCCCCCAGCTCTTTCGCAGGGAGGCAAAAGCACGAAACAGCGGCTTGTGAGATGTTCACCGGCCGGTATAAGTCTTTACTAAGTGCTGGTTGCGCGCGCGCGCGCGCGCGCGCGGGTGTGTGTGTGTGTGTGTGTGTGTGTGTGTGTGTGTGTGTGTGTGTGTGTGTGTGAGAGCATGTGTCCCCAGACCGACTGACCACGAAGCAGGACATGTGTTTTGTGCAAGCATAGCATGGACGCACGTGAAGCAAGGCTTTCTTTGGCGCTTGGACGGGTTTGGCATCGTCAACTGGCCAGGGTCCGCTGTCACTGCACACCTTGAATTTCACTGCATGATTGCTGCAGGCATTTTTGTTTTCAAACATGACCGAAATGTTCAACATGATTGAACATGGACCGGCGGCACCATTTGCTGCCAATTACACATGCAAACATATGCGGATGCCTAAATTTAATAGGCTGTAGCAACAACCTAGCAACCACGAACCTTGAAAATAGAGGAGCCTACGTAGCTGCTGGCAAAGTTAAGGTGTTGTACTATCAACAAGCAGCCGTAGCTTTTTGGCGGTGCTCATGCTTGCAAGCCATGAGCAAAGCAGCCAACCCGAACAAGCCGAAAAAGCAGGAAACCGAGGCACGTTGTCCAACTTGAAGTCCTTGTGACACGTATGCCTTGGCCACAGGCCGATGTTGCAGCCAAGAAACAACAGGCGCACCTTCCGGTCAGATGGTTGATTCGCTTCCCGTGGCTTGCCAGGCAGACCGGGAACGAATAAGGAGAGCCCTGATTACCTTGGGTGATGAAAACAAGAAAGTGGGGTTCTCAGCGCGTGCCAAGCTGCAATGTGAGCGAATCCCTGGAGCCCAGGTGGTGTCCCAAGTCAAAGCTGTGGTAGCTGCGGTCGAGGACGCGCACGGCTCGCACCACAATCAGGTTGATCCGGTTTTGCTCTCTCTCTTGGCAAGGGCCAATCAAGTGGGCCTTTGTAGTCGACGCATTTCCCCAGTGGGGCCAAAGGTGACAAACATACAATGACTCGACCTAGGTTGGAGTGATGCTCAATGGAATTCGCCAACTTCACCCAACCAAGGCTGAACATGGATGCCGGCCTGTTTACTCCTCAAGCATTCTAGGAAACATGTAGCTCACTGCCGCAGAATCCAGACCCTCGCAGAACTTCAACAAGGGTTGCTGTTATGCCCAGTGCATGCAGCCTTCTGGATTTGCGACGTTTATTCACGACAGCATTTGAAGTATGAGGGTACTTTTTGAAATCTTCAACGCCTGTCTTGCGGGTCAAAACAAAAAGGCAACCGCAAACAAGACACAAACTGTGGCAGCGCCCAGAATGATACTGGTCATAGTAGGTGGTTAAGCCACTTGGTTTCATAAAGGTTGCGTAGCAAGGCCCACAAACAATATGAACCCTTACAACCATGCTGGTAGAAGCCCACATATGTTTTTTTGGGGGGGCACCCTCTGAGTTGCCACCATCCGAAATCGGGAGGATGACGTGGAGCTCCACGGCGAGCTGCTCTGCAACACGGTTCTGGCTTGTGTGAAGTGCCCGGACCCCAGTGGCTGGGCAGGGGGCAAACGGGTCCTGTTTGCCCCACGTGGGGCACAGCCGGGGCGAAAGAAACCGGTGAGCAAAGAAAGCCGCGGAGGGGATGGGAGGTACAGTTTTGAGAGAGACTTGGGTTTTGGACGGCGAGTTCATAGTGCGCCATGATGACTTGATAGCCAAGGTTTGCCCACAAAGCCGTCCACTCAGTAGCCTTTGCGCCTGTTTGGGGATCCGGCGCTGCGGAGGTTGAGTATGTATGCCGCTTGGTTGGCCAAGATGGTTCTGGCCTCAGCATCCTGAAAGCAATCACTGACATTAACGCACACACACACAGACACACCTTTGGAAAAGCCAAACTTCTAAGTATTTCAGGACCCCGAGTGCGGCCAGAAGACATTCCCAGCATCCTATGATTCACTGTGCATATTGAGCCTGACCACCACTCCGAACAACACGAGTGCAGCAACTTATCCGAAAAGAACCTCGAAGGAAGCCAACACTTGGTGTCCAAAACCGATTCCAACTGAGGCTCAGCAAAGACAGGGGAAACCGACCAAAATGACGACAAATTCTCACGAGTTCTTTAAACAAAATCAAAAAAATAGGCCGCTGTTGACAATTTAACATGTGCGAGTGCGTGTCCAAGTGCATCGCATTTTGCGAACGTGTTCCTCAAAGTGGTTCGCTGAACAAGCCGCTGGCCCACTGCCTGCTGGTGTGATGAGCACGGCTGGACCTGTAGGTTTCTGCAACCCACGATTTGCCACTCACCTCAGCACCTCAGCTCCGAGTCATGCTAAGACGGCCTGAACACTCGGCAAATTTCTGGACTTGCTTAGGGCGTCGCAAAGCGCCTTGTAAACACCCGCCTAGCCCAAAGGAACCAACCTCCCGTTGACCCCCCGATGCAGGCAGAGCAGCACCCAAAGTTTGCAGCTGATGTGGTCGCTCACGCGGTGGACGAGTTGAGAGCGAGAGCCTCGGCCAGTCAGCGAGGCACCTTGATCGCTCGTATTATATCGTTTCCATCATTTTCCTTGGCTACGTCAGATAAACAAGAACAAAGATAAAGGGATATGACAAGAAGCAGGATAGGATAATGACATGACACATTTCATCCGTTCCCACTCTGGACATTCGCTTCCCCATGTCTCGTCTTTGTTAGAGAGGGAAGCGACGGAAAGATGGAACGGAGAGATGGATAGATAATCTCTTGTCGGTCAGCGGCAGGAAAGAGATATGACCGAGAGACTCATTCATTTGTCCCTCCTTCGCAGCCATCGCTCCCTCGTCTCCTTCAGGATCTATTGGTGGAGAGCGATGGGAGAAGAACCAGAAAATAGAGATAGAGATGAGCATATGATAGCCAGTTCCTTTCCGTGTCAGCAGCTATCTCATGACATCTCCTCCACCCATTCACCCATTTTCTGTCTCCATTCACCCACCCTCTCTCTCTCTCTCTACTTTTCTCCCTCCCTCTCTTCAAACACCTTGTGCTTGCTTCGGCTAGAAGTGGGTGCGTGAGAGCGAAAGGGGCAGGGGCCAACATTCACATTTGGAACCATCAGTTGCCCCACGTGTCATTCCTTCCGTCCCTTCGCCACCTCCTCAAATCCCAACAGTTAGACTGTGAGGCGCCGCATCTCCATTTGATGGACCTCTCCCAGCACTCACCTCCTCCATACCCAGCCGCGGCGGTGATAGAAACGGCTGGGAAGAGATGGAGCGAGTGAAAGGAGCGTGAGGGATGGATAGGTCTCTCTTTCTCGCATGTCCTCGCTACCAAAGGGGCGCACAGGGATACGACCCTCCCATCCATTCCCATCTCTACCTCTCTTCCCGCTTCATTTGTTCACGAGAAGCTGGTAAGGGAAAGAGAAGGGACACAAGATGATGACATAAGCTCCCGCTCCGCCTGATAAATACCAGATCAACGAGCGGGCCATCGTCATGTCTCTTCACCCTTCTTCTCTCCGCCGCTCGCCACATCGCTCCAGTCGAGGGAGAAGAGCAGGCCATTTTTTACTCGCCAAAAGGGACGAAAGGGAGATGAGGCTTCAGAAAAGTTGGACAATGTCTCTCTTCTCCTTCTTTCGCTCCACCCTAAGATGATTCAATAGAGGAGAGGAGGTATGAAGGTGGGAGAGGATGATAGCAAAGCCAGTGAATTATTTCATTTAGCATTTTGTTGGCTTTCCAATCCTTTTCCATCCCATCACCCGCCATTTGCTTTCACAATCTCTTATTTACAAGCTGGCAATGGCCATCTTCACCATCTCGACCAGCTATCACTCGTCAATGGCAGAGTCTCCCCGTCCCGTTGCGCGGCTAGAGAAGGAGCTTCCATTGCGGCCAATTGCCTGTCAGGGCTGCCATCACTCTCACGTCCTTCTTCGTAAGTCGTTCTCTTTCTATTGCTCTATATCGGGCGGAAGGAAAGATTTTGCTCTGACTCTCACATTCCGTTTCCGAGCCTATCAATCATCAGCAAAAGGAAGGCTTGGAAGGTATTTCCAGTCCCACTCTGGATCATGAGTTTGCAGCATCCAAATCCCAGGTTAGCCATAACAGGATTGTTTTTTAGTGCTGACATGCGCTGACAATGTATTTATTCCACCTATTGAGCGATGCAGCTTCAGGCTGCGGTGCTGGACTGCAAGATGGGTAGCACGCGATTGCCTTAACGTGATTCAGCGCGGCTAGGGCGGTCGCAGCTGGCAGGCAACTTTTGCTGCGCTTCTTCGTGTTCCTGGCAAACACGAGTGTGTTAGGTGCAGCCTTGCCTTGAGTGAGGGCTCTATGGCAAAGCTTGCTGGCAGGCGTGGCTGCGGTCCTGAACTTGCTACATGAGGCTGGCTGAAACGCGCGGGTGAATATCCCGAAGCCGCACGCTATCGCAGGTGCTTTCTCTATCTGAAGGCTTGAAGCCAAGCAAAGGAGGCGGTGCGCACATGATCCAGCGCAAGCACGCCGTGCTCCCCCTGGTTGTGAATTTGTCTTGTGCAGGTGACTTTGGCGTATTCATGGCGTTGGCCAAGGGCTAAGTCACCCCACCAGCAGGACTTGACCGGGCTCAGGGTGGATTCACAGCTCACTCTGTGGCTGGAGCCTTTCAAAGGGGGAGTCCAATGCTAATTGATCATTGTCCAGTGTTCAATCAAGGCCTGAGCGCATCAGCAAATCTTTGGGTTACCTTTAGGCTACCATCAGATTCCTTCCTATTGGCAAGCTATGCCATGCCCTCGTGGGGTGACAGCCTACAACGGCTGCGAGGGAGGCAAGCAGCAAACGTTGACATCCGCATTGGCACCTCAGGAACTTCGGAGCGTATTGGGTTGACGTGGTGTTTTTTCTGGTTTTGCCTCGCCTTCGGTGTCCCTTGCAGATCCGAGGCGCAGTTGCCCTTCCTCAGCCAGGAGGCGTATCAGCAGGCGCAAAAACCCGTCCAGAGAGGTTTTGGCTTGCGGCTTGCGTGCCGTTCCTCACTTCGACTAATTAAGAGGAAAGCGCCTTCCAGAGTGAAAGGAGTTACTTCCAAAGCGAGAAGCGCGCGCAGGTCTTTTGGGCCAGTTAGAACCCAATGGGTGTTTTCCGAGTTCGAGTTCCTTAGGCAGTGCGGTAGCATGCTTTTCGCCAAGGGGAAGGCGAAGGTTCACAGCCTCATGGCAGCTGCCCAGAGATACTTGGCGAGTCGGGCAGGCACCTCAGCATCGATCTCTGTCTTTTGCGGGCACCAAATTCACCGATGCCCCTAAGGCTAGTCTAGCCAGGTGGCGTTTGAAATGGCAAGACTTGAATATTGTATAGAAAACTGAATCCAGTAGGCTCGGGCGGTTTTGTTTGGACTGGGCACAGTAGGATTGGTGGCTCGGACCTTGTTTTCAGGATTCGGACCGGGACTCAAAATGGCGCGGCTCGGTTTTCCTTTTTTTAATCAACAAACAAAAAGGGTACCCTCGAAAAGGACAGGTTCAGATATTGATTTGGCGGCATGGAGCTTGTAAGCAGATCTACGAGGGCTATACACCTGCCGTTTGAGCTTATGTTGGTGGTGTAGCCCCGTTATTTTCAATGCCCATTCCTGCAAATTGGTGTTGCCTGGGCAGGGGTCCCGATACAACGCATCCAGACGAGCTTTGGTGGTTTGTGCGCGTGTGCATTTGCTCTCTGCGCCAGCTGGTGCCAAGGGGGCACACTGGAAGCCTCTTTTGCAGCTCTGGAAGGGCGATCGTCCGGACCGACTGGAGGCTGGGCATGTGAGCAGCTAGGACGTGGGTAGTTGAAGGTTCGTGGGGCACCCCCATCTGAAACATGAAAATTCAGGTCAACTAAGTATGGTTTTGGGTGCCCGTAGGTTTTGGTTGCAACCCTGCATCCGAGTCGCCGCAGATGATGCACAGGAGCTTTTCGCTGCAGTGCAGCAGCAGCAGAAGGACAACTGGTCATTGAAGGCAGGTGGGCCCATTGGCCAACTTGAGAGAAAAGCAGCACGCCAGGTGGTTCTTCACGTGCCGGGCTTTCGGCCATCGGCTGACGGCATGGCAGAGATGCAGCGCCGCCACGGCATTTTCGCGGCTGACCGCGCGGCTGAGAGAATCCGCCAGGCCTGCCATTGCGCTGGGCATCTCCCGCGAAGAGTTTCGGAAGAGCCGGAAGCTGCAGGCCGATGTTTGTGCGCTAGCGTGTAAGTATTTCGGATGCACGGTTGGACAGGTGCCGCTGATGTCGTTCCATTTGCTGACAGATCCTTCGGAAGAAGTACCCATGCAGCCTCGGCAAGTGTTCGGCGAATGATCGGCCATGTTTTAAGCATGCGCCAATGCATTGGCAGGCCCACCAAAGACAGATGGGTCTGGGCCCAACAGATGACTAGAAAGTCCCGAAATTATTTGCATGCGCAAAAAAGGCGCAAAAGTGCCACGTTGATCTTTTTTCAGCTTCGGCTCAATGCGGGCAAGGTGCTGGAAGACTACATCCTTCTTACTGTGGAGATGTGCCAACCTGTGCATCCAATTCTTGTTGTGTCTGCATGTGGGCAGTGCTGTGCTCGACTCGCGAGGTTTGCCAAAGACGTGGACGAGTGCAGCAAGCAGATCCTGCGAATCCCAGCGGGCCCCCCGGTCACTCCATTGCTCTCCGACCCGGGCGAATCCGAGTGCCTCAGGTGCTGCATCCTCATTTCGAGGCCATCACTGTGGAAACCTTGTTCTCCGAAATGTTCCGACTGCCAGCTACAGCGTTCGAAGCTCAGAGCAAAGAGTCGTCACAAGACTGACCGAACCGGGCTCAGGTTTCTGCCGCTCTTCTACTACCGGCTCTTGGAGGACTTGCTCGTAGCTGGCTGTGGTCCAAAACCCGACCCTTCCATCTTTTGTTTCGTGGGTGCAGTTGGGCTAGGCATGGCTAGGCCCTGAAAATGTTAATCACATCCATTATTTCCAGGGCCCGTTGGCAAGGGAGTGACGCCAGTTTGCATCCCCGGCAGGCGTGCGCAGCAAAGCAAGCATCCATGAAGCAACTCATAGACCAGGCTGCGGGAGTTCCCAACCGCTGGCCTGTGATTCCACAAGTGATTGGTGTGGAGGCATTTCAAGCACTGATCCACAAAGTGCAAGACATGGATGAAGAGTGCCCGGCCCTCATTGCGATTCGAGAAACAGGTTTCGGTTCCAATATGGGCTCGTCTTTTCTTGAGGGAACCTATTTGGGGTTGGTTTCAAGGGAAACCAAAAGGGAAACCCACCATTTTGGGGGTCCCCCCCAAAAAGCAAGACATCCACTATGAAGCCAACCACGTAAGTTCCCCGGCTTTGACAAACCCACGTGCACCCAGGCATGTATGCCCTGGTGCCAGCCTCAACTCTGCGACGTGGCTGTTTTAGAGGTGCCCCTCGCTGAGGCAGAAGCATTCGCTTGCCATGTTGCCAACAACAACTTCAAGGCTCGTGGGCCAACGAGCCCGACCAAAACCGTGCTCGCTTGCAAACACATGCCCACGCCTAGTGCATTCACATGGCGCGGTTGGGCGTGGTTGGGCGTTTGGGCTCGCAAACCGAGAGCCGAGCGGAGGCAGATTGGAAGGTCTTCACTGAAAACGAGGTCAACCCCAAGGCGTTGCTGTCCCTTTGCAAGTGGTTACCAACATCCCGATTTTCAGGTCAAGCGCTTTGCAAGGCGAGCTTTGGAGCGGCTGCCCGGAGCTTAGCCTGAACTTCTGAACTGGACTGCCAGTTCAGCGGGCCGAGGCAGCGCCTGTCCGACTACCCGAACATGCTGGTGCGCTTGCCGCAGGCTCGCATGAGGCATATGCCAAGAAACGGCCCCTTCTTCCCGCACTGCAGCTTTTGGGTTGAAACAACTTTTTTCAACCTATGCTGCCCCCGTGTATTTCCCGCAGTTTCTTGCAAACGGTTTTACATGGAGAAGCCGGACGGCAAGGCCATGCGCATCTACGCGTCAGCCGAGCCGCTGCCTGCTAGCGGCCTGCCGGTCATAGCCTCAAGGTGCCAAGTGACGAGTCAGCTTGGCTTGTTCAAGCCTGTCAGTTGTCATTGTCGTGCAAGCTCGATGCGCATGCCATCTGCAGTTGCGTAGCACGTGGGCACTTGGGAGCGCCGAGGTGGTCTCCAAGCCACAGTTCGGTCGCTTGATCAACCTGGTGCGGCTGAAGGACTAAGCCATTTGCCCAAACCGTACATGTTGACCCCAGCTAAATACACCTGGCGGATGAAGGAGGTATTACCCTTAAAAGTGAAGGATCCCCTAACAAAATAATTAAATTGGACACTTAGCTTGCGATGAGCCAGGGTTTGGATAGCAACCGGGATCCCCTTACCTCAAGTGAGTCCTTTGTGGGCCTTCCGCCAGGACGCAAATGCGGACTTGGTTGTGCAGTACTGCCAGTGGCTGGGACCTCGACAGCTTCGGCAAGCGCGCGTAGCTGATACAGTACTACACTTCTTGCAAGTGGCCTAGGCTGATGAAGTCTGACACCAAGGCCGGGGTCCAAAAACGAGGACATAGCCCTTTCTGAACTGTGGCTTAAGATGAGATCCAAACGGAGCCGAGGAACCGGAAGCGCCCGCCAGTTCCGCGACCGAAGCCCCGGAAGAGCCAAAGGTGCGGACGTGACCCACGTGGATCGAGCTGCAAGCCGCCAGCTCGCTCAGGAAGAGGCCGAGCCGGCCGCAAAACGCCAAAAGCTGGCAGAGGCTTCAAAGAAGGAGGCCGGGGATGCAAGAGCCGGCTGTCACCCTTGTCCGGTGTCGCTGTTGCTCCTTTCAGGTTTTGGAAAGATTCGGAGATCCACCAGCGCAGCCTTTGACGCTGCAGGTGCCGTATTGTTTATTTCCTCCATAGTCCCTTTCAAACTGACAGGAGCATTTCTCAAATTAGGGATTTCCTTGGTGTAGTTTGAGAGGTAAACCAAATGGATACCAACCACTTGGAGGAGTTCTAATTTGGAGAAACACCCACATTTGAAAGCGGCGCGGGTTTGCAAGCTTGCAATCTGATGAATCCAAGCAATGGGGACCTCGCAGAAATCAACATAGCCAATCCATGGTTCTTTCCCCAAACAGCAAATGGGGGGCTTCTCAATCTAGCGTTTCCTTTGGTTCAAAAAGACGGCTTCAGCCAGCAGAGTTGCCAGGAGGTGGCTGAACTGGTGATGTCCGTGATGTTGCAGCAGGGCCACAAGACCCCCACGCACATGGCCAAG